AAAAAAATGCAAATACATTGATGCGCATCGAAATTGTATATTGAATTTTGATTGTAAATCGGAAATCAATGTGTAATGGCATAAAGATGAAAAAGTCGCATCGCTCATAAACGAAATGTGCCAAAAGCGAAAAAAAAACCCGAAACTGAAATCAAATAGATGCAACAAATTGATTCAGGGAAATGGAATACCATTAATATTTGAGGCAGATGCACACACGCACACACACACACATATATATGTACATACAGTGGCCACGACTTAACGCAATATTTAAAATTCGATTTTTATCTTGCATTTTTACAGGCGAGCAACAGCAACAACAACAACAACAACATCATCATCAGCAGCAGTCACGCAGGCGTCGCTAATGGGCGGTTACGCAACTCTACCTCAACAGCAGCCACGAGAGCCAACAGCAGCAACAGCAGCAACGGCTGCAACAGCAGCAACATCCCACTAGCCACAATAACAACAATTGCAGCTGCAACTGCAGCAGACGCTGCGTATTTGCTGCAATGTCCACGTAATGCACACAAAACACAAAAGTTGCATTTCAGTTGCCAACGCCAACGCAGCGAGCAGTGAGAAAATGAAGTCGGTTATCCTGTATCCGTATGGACCGCTGACGGGCGGCGTGCGCTGCTGTCGCATGTTGCATGCCAAAAATTTGGCCATAACAAGTGCAATTTACACAATTGTAAGTGCGAAACGACAATTCTAGTTATTAACTCGCATGCTGTTCACCTCACGTGGCGCCCGACCGAACGCCCGCCCACCGGGCGTATGCGCAATGCTCGGTGCGAAACTGTTGTGCGGAGGGCGACTCCCCGCGGCATTATTTGCCACACTTCAACGTAATTAAAAACAATTGCCACTCGTGTTGAATGCATTTTTATCGCCATTCACTTGCATATATCTGACGCCAATGAGCGAAACTCATTTATTCGGCTTGTTAATAAGCGAATAATGGGCGTATTTATGGAGCAATCATTTTTCTTCTGTTTCATTCATTTATTTATTCATTATGAAGTAGAGTGAGCAATATATCACAAACAATTCAAGGAATTTAATATATGTTACCTTTATCAAATTAAACCAGTTTATTTTCCATTTAATAATTTTTGTTTATTGATACATTTACGTATTTATTTTTTACATTACGCTTCAAATTTATTCACTAAAAAATATGTATATATGTATATATGTTGAGAGAATTATGTATCACTGATTTCTCAATATATGTAAATTCATTAACTAAAATTCTTTATTACCATTCAAAAAAAAATAAAAATAATAATAATAGTAATAAATATGTTTAAATATTTATATTTATCTGAAACATTTTGCAATGCTTGCATAACTTTAGATAAGATTTTATAAAATATTCTTTTGGATAGAACAATTTTTTTTAATAATATAAATAATGAAATACAAAAAAAAATTTAATAATCTTAAATATTTTTTTATATTTTCCATATTTATATAACCCTTTCTTTATAAAATATTTATAATAAATATTTAGTATCTAAAGAAATCGAAAAAAGTTACAGATTATATAGCACTTTACTCAGAAGTTGACTAAAATAAACCAAAAATTAATTTCTGTAGTTTTTCCCAGAGTTATTTTAAAAA